GGGCAAGCGACAGAAATCCGGGGCCCTCCTTAGCTCAAGGTCTGGATCCGCCACTGATAACAATACCCTCATCACCCTGTTTTTACGGGCAAACGATGTATCCATAATTATAATTGTGCCTCTTGGCTATTTTTAATATTCAACATCCCACAAAGAAGCATTGTTCTTTAAATTTCAGTATTAAAGGACTCTTGAAAGATTTTGTTTCTAAATTAAACTGATGATCACTCAAGTTTTTTTCTCCGATTATATCATACGTTATAACCAACAAAACATAGCAAAATCTTTAAAATCAGCCCGACATGCCCAGCTTGCTGATTCTGCAGAAAATCTATTAGTCTCGAAGAGGCCGCCACATTTTTTTTTTGTTAACCACTATATCAGAGGTTCATTAGTTTATTTGATTTGCCATTCCCTCAGGTCTTAGCTACAAAGCTTCTTTAGTCTGTAAAGAAATTGTTACTTAGTGTATGAAATATATATTTGACTATGGAAACGATAGGTAAATAAGAGTAAAAAAACGAAATCATACAAATCAGTCCGTTCGAATTTATATCAAGTTCACCAGGTGTTCTTGAGTGAGTCTCTTTTTACATTTAACAATCAGTTGAGGTATTAATTTGGAGAAAAAAAATGTTCGATTTTTAACTTGGTGCATAGTATACAAAGTGAACTCATACAATCTCGTAATTTTCGTAATGAAATTATCCGTCCGTTCACTTACTGTACGAACTCCAATGAGATCCTTTTTTGAGACCACACCAACACTTTTAAAATTAAGTGTCTGGTTGAGACAGCAACATGTGCATCTATACTTAATGCTTATGAGTATCGCAAAACTCTCTCTCAGTCTAGTTAATCAAATTTTATCATGATACTGCTCTCCAAATATACTAATTCAGTTTTGAAGAGAACTGTAAACCCAACGAACTTTAGTTAGAGTATGCGTATACGTAAGATGACACAAAGACTGTCATTATCGTTTGAATTAAGATAGATATATGTTGTTCAAATTCTTAAAACATAATCTTCGGATACGCTAACGGTTAAAAAAAGTCATTCACCTAGAATGATAGAGTAGGTTAGATTACCATCTGATCACCAGAGTGACGGTGATAAAGAGGTCAATGTTGCGTGATGTTTATCCTCTGAGTTCGAGACTTAATTTCCGATGTCCGTATTCGGTAGAGCAAATATCATAGAAGTTTTTTTTGACAGAAATCCGATCAGTTTTATCGCGTCAAGGTAGACTATCTGCAATAAAGAGCAGTCCGTAAGGAGGGTTCGACTGCATCGTATTGCAGACGGTAATGATTTTAGCAACTTATATAAATGACTGTTGAAAGCGCTAAATCGAGCCAGCTTAAGGAGTAAATAAGGAATAAGAAAGTGAGGTTTTTTCCTTGAGAACGTGTATGTGGGTATCGGGACCATTGGAGCCACGAAGTGAGGGGTAAAGGAATGCTAGTTGTTGACTGCCTTTGCGCTGGTGGGTAAAATGACAGATGATTGGGATTATAGGACCTCATCAAAAAATAGAAATGAGAATGAACTCAATTAGAGAAAAAACGTGATTAATGCAATAATCATACGAAAGGTCCCATAAATACAAAAATTATATTTATCTTCACTTTTATTAGGGCCTCTTGTCAGGAGTTCATCACTCGGAACCTCCATATGCGCTGTACGCCTGAGTCAGCCCTTGCCCATTTTAATCTATTTTAGACGTACGCTTTCCCGAAAGTGAAGGAACATCATAATTCGCACAACTTTAATCCAATAAATTTGGTCATTATTCTATGCTTCCACCATTGGTGTGAAAAATGTCATTTTTCAAAACATGAAATCATGTGATTACGTATTACGTATTATGGTCTTAGCTCCGCTCGGATTGCTTCTTAGTAATAAAGAGTAACAAATATTCCGCGGAAAAAACTATTCCTATAAATACCTTTACATAAACTTTCAAGTTTATTCATTTCAATTGTTTCATGTAAACTTTGAAAGTACTTCGCTTAGTCGTCTTTAGAAGATATGTCTAATAGTACACAAGTTCCTTGATGATGCCTCTTACCATAAATATCTGTGGTATGAGTGTCAAACACTTTAAAATTGCCATCATCAGGAGAGTAGACAATAGCAGCAGTAAAACAAGCAATTGTCAAAATAAAGGATCTGTATTCCTCTGATATCAATGAATCAAAAGCTCTTCTTAAGCCTACACAGTATTAATATCTCTCAGTGGTAGCCTCATCATGAACATCACCGCTATACCTTGCACTGAATTCCAGCTGGTAATTATCTTCTGATACTGTGAGCATTTCTAGTTGTAACAAACTACTCTAAAGTTGATTTCCATTATGCGTCACTTGCTTTAAGTCACCGAGGGTACTTAATATTCCTTTCATATTGTGATGTAGTAAAGCACAGACATTCATCGCAGCACATTGTTGTCCTGTATTTTTTCCAAATACCACAACATCTGCTTGACTTTATGATGCTTTTATTACTTTCCTGGGGTCAAGATGGTACATAAATCCTCTACATCACTTGAAAGCTGCTACTACGTACATTTGCCTTTACGAGTTGCATTTTGTACTCACTGTATAGGAAATAACACGAAAAAAATCTCAATACTTTAGGATATTTCGTTCGTAAAAATTAAAATTACTTTTGTACTGTCCTTACAGGTGTTAACGGTGAAAAAGAGTTCACAGTCTACAATCAAATATTCAGTCATTCGAAAGCAAATGAGGAATGTCAATCACTTTATCATGATGGTCTTCTTGCAAAAATCAGAAATGATTATGACTTTCTATTGGCGAAAAATATATCAAATACCACCAACGGCAAAAAGTACTGGATAGGTCTTAGGTATTTCCGGTGAGTAACAATTGTAAACTGTGCAATTTTTTGTGACTTTAAATTAATTTTTTTGTGAATTTACATGCAAGAGGTGGAGGTAGCAATGGTTACCAGTTCGGATTGTGGGTTTATTTGCCACTGTTACTGTTGCTGTAGCGTTTTTGGATGCGTTTTTTTTCAGAGAATGGAAATGGACTGATGGGAATTCAGCTACACGTCTCAAACTAGTTGGGAAGATAAAAAACTTTCATGCAATACAAAATCAGCACAATCGGTCGTTCTGCTGCATGTTAACTGAAGATGATAAACTAGAGTGTACAAATTGCACTGAGGAGCACGGCTATATTTGTGAGGGATATCCAGGTTAGATGCAGCTTCTATTAGGCAAGGTTATCAAATCTTATCATTTACGAGTCCACTTTCCTTTAGTCTATTGAATTAATTTTATATCAAGACTTAAAACAGTAGGCAATTTAGCTAGGAACAAGCGATCACGCGCATATTTTCGCACTTTGTTGGGTACGATACATAAGAAGAGCTATTAAGAGGTTAAATGTGATCAAACTTACCCAACTTACCCAAATTTTGCCATTTCTCCTACACTTAATCACCCCATCTTCATAGCATTGAGGACTAGGCCTTAAAACTTAAGGGGTTGCACTGGCTTTGTGCTTTTGCTTCGCTTCTTTTCTATATGTTCTCTATGTGTTTGAAAGGGATTTAGCATTACTTAAATACTTTGACTCTTCTTTTTATGTCACTAGCATTTTAAAAAGAGATTTCAATTTGAAATACTTCGCTGAGAGACCTTCTTTCGTTTCCTTCAGTGAATACTCCACTGATCGACTTGACTTTTGCTCTCAGTGCTACCTCTCCTTCATCTAATAACACTTTTGCATTTATGAAAAGCACAATCTGTGCCATTATCGACCAGTATGGCATAAACAGCATTTTCGTCTTCGGTTCTGATGCTAAAATAAAACTAGGTTTTGTCAACATGCAAAACAAAGACTCCGTAACCTCACACGTCGATAAAATCGAAAAAGCTTCTGGAACTCCGCTCTTGGTCAAAGCTCTAGATCAAGTGAAATCAGGATTCCAACAGTTTTCTAAAGGTTCTAAGGCAAGTCGTGCTCTTGTTGTAATGCTGGACGACAGGATGGTTTTAAATAACGATGGTTTAAATAAAGTGTTGACAGATCTGGATAATGAGCGAGTTTTCATCGTTGGTGTTGGAGTTGGAAACTTCGTGAGAGAGACAGATTTGACAGCAATTACGAAAGATGAAGCGCACGTATTAAGAGTTGGCCTAAATAAATCGTCAAATGTCCTTGGAGGGGAAATCATGGATGTTATACAAAGTTACTTAAAAAGTAAGTCTCTCTACCTTTTCTAAGGAGGTTCTTCTGAGCTGGTTTCTTATTTGTCCTGACTCTCAGGTGTGTTAAGACTATCTTTTATTTCAAGAGTCCGTGGTCTCATTACCTCAGTTGGTTTAATTTTCTTACCATCAGGGTTACTTCTGAAGCATTTATGCCCTAAGATATTTCATTTCTTGCTCTTGACCTTGTGCACGGGTTCACCAAAGACACCCTTCCTTCATATATCTGAGTTTACATCCTCGTAAATCTCATATACATGCTCTTTGGTTGTGATGTTACTTGAAGTTGATTTCCAGTAGTTTTGTTTCACGCAGAACAACCTCTGATACGATTGCAAAATTCTATTCTTTGCTGAAACGTCTTAGAACTCAGAAAAAGGCAACTTGGGCTATTCTAGTAAAACGTGCCCCATGCAAGACGCAAAAATCTATTTTAACTTCTTTAGTTGATAATTTTACATTTTTCAAGTTAAAAACAATTCATGACAGATATTTCAAGGTCAATTGATTAGCTTGGTTCTTCTGTCTGTAGTCCTGCATTAATTATATATTAATATATATTAAAAAAAGAACATCGCCATTCATCCCAAGCGACGTTTAACACGTTCACGGAAATATCTTCTAGTTTACGCTCTTTATGGTAATAGAAAGTTTTACACTTAAAATCTTATCGTCTATAATAATCGTTATAACATTAATTCGTATCAGAGGCGCAACGTTTTCTGTGCCTCAATATTCAAACTAATAATGAGCTTCTACTGTGTCTGTATGTTTAGTGGAAGTTTCTCCGTCATCTGTAGCGGAATTATTGCCTTCTACAGGACAGACACGAGCGACCCCCACTACATCACTTGCGTCAGAAGTAACAGTAACAACATCAACTAACATTGGAAAAACAGATACCACAACAATCATGGCGTCTAAAACATCCAGAATGTCAAAGGATTTATCAGTGAGTGTCTCTCCAACGGAGCCTGCTGATAATCAAGAGAAGGTGATTATCACATTATATAGTATCAGTTCAAAACAGATTGATCAGCATCTACTGAATAAACTAAACACTCGATCACCAAACAACCTCTCACTTGAAAGTGATGGTAACTTCCGCCTATAGCTGGCTGCAGTCCTTCCCTGGACTACTTAAACGTGCATTTTGCTATCCCACTGTTTCTTCTGAGTTCCACCCATTTGCCATGTATATCGTTTTATGAGGGTCTCGATGGGTGATGGCTTTTAAAGCTAACGGTTGAAATGTTGGACATTCTACAGCTGAAGGTCTACCCAAAGAGGTTCTGAAGGGGAGGAAAATTATTGCTTATAACAGAGCACAGCAAAACAATTCAGTGCATCCTTATTTCTAGATTAGACGCCATTACAACGTAACCTCATATACTTCCTTATTTCTTTTATATCCAAATTGACGTTGGAAATTGATTATCTTTGATAAACAGAAAAGATGGCCTATAATTTGAAATTATATTTATACTGCAAAAAAAACTGTAAGAAATTGCGTACCAATACAAATCATTTATACAATTCACAACTGTGAAATGTTCCTTTGTTTCTTTAAGATGGTTGAAAAATACTTGGATAAGTTGAATCAGTTAAACTTAAGTGACGAGAATTCTCTCCAGGTAGGCTAGATACTCAGTATGTTTTTATCAGCTCATATGTAATTGTAACATTGCGTATTGGTATATCCTCATGAAATTGTTATCATCCTTATTTTTTTCTTTTTTTACTGTTACGGATGATCATTTGATGAGTTTCATTATGATTACGATCTTTAGGCTGCAGTCAATGAGACAGAGAAATTGCTTACAGTTTTCCAAAAAATCGCAAGTAAAGACCGTTCAGGCGTAGAAGTGAATTTGTTGCTAGCCGCTCAGCACCTTGAATTGCTGGCTTCACAATATGCTGAGAAGCATATGTTGAAAAATAGCAGCTACCACTCAACCACAATACCCACTAGAGAACACTTAGGTGGGTAATGCTTTTATACCTTTTAACAAGTAACAACGCAACGTATTATAGGTCGTAATTAAAATATGATTAGATGTAACGATTGTTCATTAAAAGGAAATAAGAACTGCGAGTGGATCCAAAAATAGACGGAATTCGAGCCACAAATATCAGAAATTTTCGTTGATTTTTTCTTCCCGTTCCGCGGACGATTCGAAAAGCAAAATGAACTGAGTGAAGCCACAGAAACGGTATTATTGATCAAGTTTCTGCTGTCTATCCTGACGTAAATTTTGTTACAAATAAAGATAATTTAGTTACTTCCTTTGGAAGAAGCCTAAGAATAAGTTTTATTCTTGCTTCTCTCCCTTTAATAGTCATGGAAGTTCAAACCATTAAAGCAGGTCATAAAAAGGAAGTGACGTTTCCTTCTGAGGAATTTCAAGGTCAACCGTCAAGTGATAATAATTTATTACGTGAAAGGTTCATTTTACCACCAAAACTCTTCGAAAAACAAGGTATGTTAAAAAAAATGCAGTATTTGTGTTATGTTATCAACCAGGCAGCTAAAAATCTTCAGTCGCACATTATTCATCGTAATGTATTGCCTATATTGGATCTGCAGTGAACATTTTTTTTAATATTATCTAATTATATGCTCTGTGATCCTTACGGGTGAGTTTTCTTCGGGCCTCAAGGATATAAATGTCAGTACGAAAATTTTCCTACCTAAAAAAAGTTGGGAGTAGAGGCAAGTGTTGGAAGAGTATGAACGTGTATAGTACACTATATCCTTCTGAGGATTTTTTTTAATTTCGCTTGGGAATTTGTTCATCATGTTTTCAACAATCGTGAACGCTTAAGTGTATCTTCTTCTCAATAGAAACTGTGGTACTTGGAATAGCTTACCAAGACCTGCACAAACTTCTTCCAGATGAATGCCAATACCTTCTTGATGGGTATGTATTTTAAGACATACGGAGTAGAATTAGACAGGAGCTTATTCTAATTCTAACTTCTAATACATTGAATACTCTCTATTTTTTTGTCACTTTTCTATCTAAATATTTAGATGAGACGATTAGCAATTTTTTACAAACGAGCCAGATTGCTAAAGGAATCAAATACATTTTATTTGCAGGAAGAAAATGATAAATACTAAACTCCAAACACCAATCATAGCGTGTTCTCTCTTACCGGCCCCGCCACCAGTGCTGACACAGAACATTACTATTTCATTTACTTTACGAAAGGTAAAAGTGCACGTCTCATACGCTGACGAACTCCTGAAAAAGTTGTTCTAGTTATAGTCTTTGGATTTGCTTTTTTTCTTATTGGTTAGAATTCTACAGTTGAAAAGATATATATGATTTTCATCCAGCCATTTAAAAACGATATAAGTTCCATTTGAAAAGATCCTTCTGGTTGATATGGGAGCAACACGAAGCATGATCTGTGGAAACACTAACGAATGCACGATGTAGTTAGGGAAACTGTATATTCTGAGTCGATTTTTGCAATACGTAATTTTATGAGTTTTGAGTGTATTTCATGTAGACGTTGCATGTAGACGATGTAACACTGTTATTTTTTCTTTTCGTTCCGTCTTTAAAGTTTATAAAACCCGAGGACAAGCCTTATTGTGTATTTTGGGACTTTGCCATCAGGTATGTTTTCTTAGCTGTACATGAGGCTTAATTCATTTCACAACTTATATTACTTGAAATACTTTTTTTCTGAAAACGACCATTTTCTCTAACAATGTCGCGACAGTAAATGAAAGATAAACTTCCCGTCCATAGGAGTCAGGTTAACGGCTCCTGGTCAAGCAGAGGATGTTCCCTGATTAATAGAACAGACACCAAAGTTGTGTGCAGCTGCAATCATCTGACGAACTTCGCAATTCTTATGCAACTGGGAGAAACCAAGGTGAGTTACAAAGTAAAGTATAGCTATCCTGTCTTGTTATTGATTTGGATCCGCAGTACAGTACATCAGCTACCATTTGTCACTGTGTGTCGTTTTATACCTGAAGCGGTTTAAATATTTTTAATTAAAAGTTGTTCAAGTTAAGTACTAGGTATTTTTGTTTTAGATTCCTCTCAAACATCAGCTCGCATTGCAAGTCAGTACATTTGTCGGCTGTGGATTGTCGCTTATGGGTGAAGTGTTTACCATCTTAGCATATCTGGTTTTTATGTAAGTACAAACCCTTCTTTTCTAGAGGTGCTTCACCAACCGACGATGTTGGAGATTTATGAGATTGATTTTAATGAATGTGTCCTTTTTTCTTTGCCTAGGAATCTGAAGCAAGAACATATTCAGATACGATTCAACCTTGTTGTGGCCATAGCAGTGGCGCAAATTCTATTCCTGGCTGGAATTGATGCCACATCAAAACAGGTAACTGCAAACATATCTGGTCAATCACATGAACTTTAATTACAGATGACAGAGATACTTCACTTGATTACTAGAACATTTGTAAATATTATCAGAGTCAACCGTGATAATTTCTCCAGCAGGTCAAAATGGAAAGGTTAAGGTACACTGTAGATGTATGCCCCAATGAATCTTGAGTAAACGAAGAGACAAAACAACAATTCAAACTTAGACCTTATGGCTAAACTAATTTATTTTCTTGTTTACAGGAAGCTTGTATATTCGTGGCAGTGTCTATTCACTATTTTTATCTAGCCGGATTTTCTTGGATGCTCATGGAGGGAGCCTACTTGTATCTGATGGTGGTTAAAGTATACAACGCCGTCGTAAGAATGAAGTTGCTGTATGTTTTCTCCTGGGGTAGGTAAACCCTATTATTGTGCATGCGCTATTGGTATCCCTTTTTGTATCATTATAGAAAGAAAAAAAAAAAAAAAAGAGGTAAAACTAAGGTTATACCTTGCATGTATAAATTTCGCTTGGCGATAACTTAATTGTTAGAGTTTAGGATCGCATGTATGATGCAATCTATTGATGTCAAATGTGAAACAAATGCAAAAGTCGTTTAACTATATTTATGGCGAGATATACACGGAGGTAACTCACTGTTTTGTAGGATTTCCTTTTCTAATGGTGATTTCATCCATTGTCATCGCTTCTGGCTCTGCTGAGGGAATATCGGGCTACGTACATGGTGACTTGTAAGTATTTAAAAGGGTATATTAAAGGCTCAATATTTTCCTTATAACGTCAGGGAGTCCTACATTCTATCCTAGCGCTTTATTAGTGGCATCACAAAAGGTTGCAGGGGATTCTTAGTAATGAAGAGCTTGTAAAGTCTCTTTGTGGTTCGAACTGACGCAGACCGGTAAATAGCGCTTTAAAAAAGAAACGAATTAACAATCGTGATCAAAACGAAATAAAATTTGATCGTGTGTTTGTATGTTTGTTCAAAGATTATTAATTTCTTCCTTTTTTACAGCTGCTGGGTTTCATTTTCAAATAGTTTAGTTTGGACCTTTGCCGCCCCAGTCCTCGTGGTTTGCCTGGTGAGATGGCTTCTGTTATAGTTTGCTCTACTATTTAGAAGAATTTCTCATCATTGTGATTGTGGCAAAATTATACACAGCGTTCGTTAATATACAAGTGACATTAAGATGACTGAGCCTGAAATAAGCTCCATTTCAACAAAATAATGAAAATCAATGCTCTCCAGTTTGTTCTTCTTCTGTTGTAGAAATCATTTGTTCATGTAATTGTTCATTTCATCAGATAAACTCCTTCATCCTTTGCCGGGTGGTGTATGAGATGACGAGAATGCACTCTACGAAAGACACCTCTAACGTCAAGTGAGTGTGTGTCTGCACCGTGCTGTCATTTTCTGGTTTTATCTCAAATTGAATGCTCACTTTCACCCTCAATATCTGATTATTTCAGACAGGGGTTAAAGGCATGGGTGGTGCTGTTTCCTCTCCTAGGCCTGACCTGGGTATTTGGAATTTTTAGCATTACAGCTGCCGGTGTGGTGTTCCAGTATATCTTCACCATATTTAACTCACTTCAGGTAACAATTTCAAGCTTGAACAACTTTGTAATGGGAGCCTCTAAACAGTATTTTATTTTGCACGACAGTAACAGAAAACGGTCTTGTTTTCTTATTGTAAACTGTTATATACACTCCGCGATTGTTAACAGTAAACAATATCACAAGGGTACCGATTGATGATGCAGCTCAGCGAGATAGACTTCTTACCTTTTTCCAACCAAACACCTCTTCACTTAAGTCCTATTATGACTCTAACTCTTTGCCACGCTGTGATGGTGACTCGAGATACCTCGCACTACCGAGACATCAGTTAGTGTTCAGCAAAAGTCTTTTCCATGACTATTCTCATTCACCGTACAAGACTAGTATCCCAGACTAATGCAATCACTCGTCCTTCTTACATTTCATACCTTTAGGGATTCTTCATTTTCGTCATTCATGTCCTGCGAAGCAGTGATGTACGCGCTGCATATCTTCGCAAGAAACAGAAGTGGGACAATTCTAAGAATTCAACCTTCCCAAGCTCTCGTTCAGTGGCAGAAAACTCAAACGCTGGTTTGGAAAAGCATGACATGAATAAAATGCCTCTCAGAAAGGAGAGCCCTGATCCAACCTTTAGACGACATCAGGTGTCTCCCATTAACTCGGACAGAATAGACACAAGAGAAAGCTGCATCACTCCTGTTGACGCAAAGTGAAATAACTTTCAAAGTGAATTCCTAAAGAGGAAAAGGATGTTATTTTATCAACTTGTGGAGAAAAAAAATTTTTTTTCACCATTTTCTGAGTATAAGTTCATTACGAAATGAAAAAGTCACCAGGTAGGGAGACCTGATGAGTTCAAGATAAATATAGTAATGCATATGTCTGGTTCGTTTAAGCTTCTTATATTAGCTAAGAGGACTCTGATTAGTAAAACTCAAATTGTGTCCAATAAGTTGCAGGTTGACAGTATAATATTTTCCTGGTTTATTCGCATTGAATCTACTTGTAGTTACCATGAACCTCCCCGAACTGGGAAATTTGACTGTGTCTGCTCTGGAAGCAAACCGTGAGGTAGAATGTATATCTGGCATGGTACCGAAATTTGTCGCTCGATAAGTAAAGATGAAATTTAAGTTTTCCAATAATTTTGCATTTTCCAAATTATTTCCATTTTTATATTTGACAGTTAAGACTAATAGTTTGTGGTATGTGATTCCAAGGATTGATCATATTTTGGAAATATAGCTCATGTCCGTCCTAAAGAATGTGTTTTGTTTTTCTTTGTTCTCTCACTAACTGAAAAGATGTCACTAACACTGACACAATAGACATTATCAACTGAGTTGGTAATGTAAATTGGCTACTGTAAAGAGTTTCAAAGCTGTCGTTTCGAGCGTTGGCCCTTCATCAGAGCGAATGGAGGAATTGTGGGTTGTGTGTGTGTTTATAAATAGAAAATGGAGCTACGCTAATGGTGAGAAAATGGCAACAAGAAAAGAGTTCCTTATGTTTTTCTCGTTTTTGAATTAAATATGTGGATGTTGCGAAAATGAAGATAGTGTCAGTCTCTAAATGGCTTTGACGTAATTTAAAGTTTTAAGAATAATAGATTCAACTTCGTGGTTGTAAAGGTGAAATTTGAGATTGAACAGAATGCAGTCGATATTTTCTCTCTGAGTGGTGGTAGCTGCTTTAACGACAAAGACAGGATAGCCACGTTTATCGCAAATCTGGCACGTTGCCTCCGATTTGTGGAAAAAATCAATGCTGTCACTTCATAAACGATAATCAGGTTTTCGACTTTTTTCAACTCAGTTGATACTACTAAATTACCCTGTTATGCTCTCCCACCTACGCAGAACCACAGTTTCTTTAGAAAGTTACTTCCTTTGCAGGACTACATCCATACCAAGACAACAACGTTATACCTGGGAGGCTTTGAATATCCTTGATAGGAACATGCACTGGAGTAATGATTAAAAAAGAAAATGATTATTTAAAAACACCTACCTATAGTGGTGCCTCTGTTATCGTGAGAGCTGAAGTTAGCCTGAACGCGAGTGCTCCTCACAAATGAAAGCTAAAGCACTCGTCAGAAAGCCGATTATTCTCTATGATGACTTTGTACCTGCTTTAGGGTAGCATGGATACATTTATTGAATGAAAGACAAAGCTAGGTCCTGAATATTTTTAAAGTGTCATTCTGGGTTGGTACTGACCTTTCTAAAAGATTTTGGCCTCGCAGTTTGACGTGGGTTCCTCTCGCTTTTGCCAGCATTGAGTCTCCTGGGAGGAAGAGAACCTTAAACCTCCGCAGATACAGAAGTTATATTGGCGAGACAAGCGGGGTAATAGATTCATGATGCGATTAGCGTTCCGAGCGTTAAGAGGAGCTGCAGGTTCGTCAGCGTCCCATGTGTAAATGTATAAAGAAAAATGGTCAACTTTACGTAGTCGTAATTCATCTTCTTTTTCATAAAGGACGTTTGCCATTGGACATTCCTGTTGGATGTATCAATACAGTAGCTCGTTGATAGTTGTTCCTAAACGTAAATCTTTTTATTTGGCATTCTCTTTGATATCTAAGTTAGATAATGAACAACCGCGAAAAAAAGTTCCATAATTTTATCCTTTTATTTATCCTTGTAACTTTGTCCACTTTATTTTTGTTATAAAGACAGAAGAGAAAAGTAATTTCAAGAGCTTCGAATTGGTGCTATGTATTTCCACCAAATGAAAACCATTGTGTGTGGCTCTTTAATCTTAATCTTTTCTTCGCTTTATAAAATTTTACTTCGGTTCATTTGTTTACTCTAAATCACACTGACGTAAGGCGACTGCTTTGCATTACAATATCACTTAATCCGCAATGCATCTTTATCCAAAGCAACTTTATTTTAGCAAGAATATCTCTCCCTAGGAAAATTTCCTTCATTGCCCAAACTGCCCCAATTTTTGTATATCGAATAACACCGCGATGTATTAATGGGAAGTTCGATATGCTCACTACAACAGCAGCCTAAAGGCTAAAATCATACACATTGCTTCTCGCAATAGCCACCCTTAAGGATTGAGGGCATATCTTTTGCTGACGCATGGTGTTGAATACGTTGATAGAGTGTTGTGTTAAGAGTTGCATCTCAAAACTCTCACAGAACCTAAAAATTAGATCTTAACTTCCGCACAATTGTTAAGTTCACGAAAGCAATGAAAAATGAAATTGTTTCAAAAGAGAGCAGTTCCATGAAGTCAATACTCTTAATTGCATGCAAAAAGAGATAATTTTCCAACTAAAAGATTCTTTAGCTTATAAAGGAAATGGATATGCATATAGCTATTATCCTGTTAGTGATTCACCCTATTTTGAAAAATTTCTAGCCTGTCAATTATTCAAACAAGGTGTTTCTTTGTTACCATTACATTTGAAGTTAAGCGGATCTTGCAAAGCACGTATTTCTTACATGACTGAGAAAACGCACGTTAGAAAAGCTACAGAGTGTTAATGTACCAAAATTCGCCGACGAAGCTATAGAAAGTTGAGTTATTTAAAAAGGAATAGTGCATAAAGCCACATACTGACCGCGATTTAAAACTTGGTTTTGAATCTTAATGAGGGAAAATTATTTTATGGCAGGTTCGTAGTTCTTATTCACTTTTATATTTTGCATGGTGTTAATAACAATAACCTTCCCTCTATTAATCTTCTATTGTGCTCCGAAAGAATTTTAGAATTTATTTCTCTGAGCACATTCTTTAATTTTCAAATTTTTTTTTTTTGTATCTCAACTTTTCAAAAGATTTATGGTAACGCGAAGTGACATATAATATTAAGTTGGAACATTTGTTTTAAATCAAGACTTGGTTATGCTAATGATAGATTGCAAGTATGATTGTTAAATTTATCTCGGAGGAGCTCTCTGGTAAGTATCATAATTTTTTTAAGCAGAAGAAACTTCCGTCGTGAAGACTCCAGAATTAACTGACCACATCAAACGCTTTTTTTGTTCAGTGAACATTTGTTTCATTTACGTCACGTCGATTTGAGATCTCTTCTCACCTATCGTGAATGTTTCATTTTTTTTTTACATTTACGTTATTTTTTTTCTTTAGTTGAGGACTAATTTTGTCCCTTCTGTAACAAATGTTGTAAACTATTGAGGCAGGGAAAAACTCGTTTTCCTACATCCTCTTATTTCACTAAGGAAGAAAAAGGAAGGCATATGAATTATTTTCCATACAATTTGATATTCCATTCGATAGTCAATAAATGTGCAGGTGAAAAAAACATAGTCATCATCGACTACAATTGCATCTCTGAACAAACAAAAGATCTCAATAGCTCATAATCATGGGACGTCAGTAAAAGCAGGATATAAATTTATTTACATAACTAGCAGAAAACATTTCTTCTTTCAAACAGGCGGCACGGAAATTGAGCGGTTCTTCTGATGCTGTTTGGCTAACAGCTCTAGGAAACAGATCAGACGAAACGATTTTCCAAAGGAAGGTTCAGCTAGCTAAGAGATTGCAAGCTACAGCACCGTCGTGTTTAGTTTATAAAATGAATTTTTATTTCCATGTCAACTTGATCAACTTTCAAATTCTACTTCAGATCGTCGTCTTCCTTGGCGGTAAGTAACAACTTTTGTTGGTTTCATAATGATAAGTGGAATTCTTTATTCTGTTCAGTTTATAACTTGACTTGTAAAAGTTTTATTCCTGTCTTTTATTGTGCGGTATGTTAATATAAACTAATAATGATGCCCCCCTCGCGGCGTCAACCTATCCATTAAACATATTTAGTTGGAAGTTTCTGTTTTTTTCGCTTTGAAGCTCTTTTAGGATCATTATTTTCCTATGTTATTCATATTGTTTTCTTTTTTCCATTTTCAAAACAAAAACAAAAGAAAGCGTCTGTCTTTCCCCTAATAGTCTGCGACTAAAGCCGTTTTCTTAATCGAAATAGACGAGCACGGAAGTCACATTCACGTCGTCATCTTACATTGTACGTTGCAACTCCCACTGACATTTCATCACAAGTCTAAACATGTTTACGATTCAATCGAGGGCTGAATTGATCTACAAAGCGTGAAAAGGATCAATTTTGGCTAAGCCTTTCAGTCATAAACTTATCATATGACAGGCACCGTGACGATACCAGTCAGAGTAAAATCCTGTTGTGCAAAGTATGGAGTACATTTCTGGCGACCAAGTAGAGCTGCTGTGCGTTGAAAATTGGTTTATCAAGAAATATAAAACTTGATTTGGTAGAGTCTGTAGAAGCTGAACATTTAACCGTGCCTCGAGATGAGCGTTCATTTAATAATCAGAAAAGTTTCGAAATTTTCGCATTTGGCTTGTAATTAAGCGTTCAATTTCTTTACAGCCCTAAACAAAATAAAATCGGCTTGGATATGAGTTTGCACTGAAAGTGTTGATTATGACTAGAGTATTTGTACAAATTTGTACATAATACTCAAGAGCGACAGAAATGCAGTACTTACACGCTTCCGTTTTTTTTGTTGTTGTGTTTCGCAAATAATCTGAAAGATGACAAATCGCATGTCCGCCATAAGGAAGAAAGAGATGATCCTGAGGGTATATAAATATTTGAAATTTAACGTTATAAGAATAAATCATATATTCCACCCACGTGCAGCAGGCTATTAAGATTTTTATCCTTGAAGTGCGCATCAAAGTTATGTTACTAGGTTACGTTCAATTCAAAATATATGTTGCTTTCCATTCTGTTCCATGAAAGATTTTGATGTATTTTTGAGTACGGAAACTCACGTTAAAGTTGGGAACTTTTCAACCGTGATGCGGGTTGCTACAAATTTTAAGGCTTCATTGTACACCGGTCGATTGACTGTAAGTAAGTAGTTGAATGATTTGTACGTTGGGTAACATAATAAGCTGCAATATTTAATATTTAATTTCCTATTAGATCTTTGCCAGTGTTCCACTCTCACATACCGCCCTAGTTCCAATCGGTGCAAGGGAAAGGAGCTAGGAGAGAAAAACCATTGCAAGTGCAACGAAAACGAAAGACTGGGAAGAATAAAAGGCTTGGCTAATCTTCAAGAAATCAAGAATTCTATTAATGATAGCGACTCATACTGGATAGGACTAAGGTAATGTAGAAATGGGAAATGAGGATTTTATAGTTGTTGTGTTCTGACAGAAAGAAGAGAGCAAAGTGATAAAAGAAAGCTCGTGAATTTTGATCAAATTACCGCATACAGCGGGAAAAATGGAAAGTCAATTTCATGTTACTACTTTGAATCCGTCACTGGGACAAAAAGGGCGTGATCGGTGGCTTGTAAAGCTTAGGGTTTTATGAAACATTCAAGGGGATGGAATTGGGAATCTGAGTCAATCATTTGAATTTTTTGCCGTTTAGGTAGTAAAAGACAATTACCAAAGGCGAATATGTTTATCTCGTAGCTATGAAAAAAATAAAGGTTTCTGTTGGATAACGGAGAAACACGATAGATGTACAGAGCATCCTGCGGACCAGGACTCGCTGACCAATATCATTGAAGGTGAAAAGAGTGAATGGAACTCAGGGTGGTACTGCTTTTTGACCCGTAAAGAGGAGCCTAAGATGCAAGCAAAGAAATGCAATGAAAATAACGATGAGCGCTTCATCTGCGAGAAAGGTAACAAGTTAAACTTGTTATTAAGAAGTGAAGTGAAAAATTGCCCAGATGAAACATTGAAAATCACACACAGACATCTTGTTCGTTAAAGTTGTTAATACGAAGGGTGATCTTTACCAGATATTGAAAACTAGAATACTCTTAAGTAGTATAGATGAAGAGATATAACGTTTCTATTGGTTAGATCTTATAATTAGTTCATGACAAATTATTTAATATTTACTGACAAATTAATCACATATTTTGTACACTACTGCGAAGTACATCGCGTAAATTTTTAACTCGTCTCTTTATTTTCAAACGACTATTGAAAATTAGGCCCGGGTTGTTCAAAGCTGGGTCATAACCCAGGGTAAGTGTGAAATTTGATTTCAGGTCTGAAAGCTTTAAAAGAAAATTCAGTTCAAATCTTTTTGCTTGTAATTTGATCATTGGATGTTCTTAAGAGGATAGGGAAAATTTTCTCTTAAGGGCTTTTGAACAAAGAAATAAAGAAATCTGGATTAAAATTTAAACCTGGGTTGGCGTTACTCGGCCTTTGAACAACTAGGCACAGGTCTTCTATGCGTAACAAAGCTGCCTACCAATTTTTTCATAAATTTCATAGAAAGTCCGTCGTCCGAGTTATCACCAAAGCACTCTTCGTCTGATAAATCGATGCGACCCGAAACAAAGACAAACATAGTGACCGCAACGGATCCAACATCCATCGCAAAGTCTTCAGTGGTCATGAGCAGCTTGCCAAGTTTAACCACATCAAGAATGTCCATAGAAATACCAACTACAATTTATTTAGCAAACGTGACAACAGTTACACTTGCAGGAGTCGCCTCGCTGTTATTATCAAGCACACCAGTTAATTCAGGTTTCACAAGTAATATGATGATAACGGAGCCTATAATTATGGCAAACAGCACCATAAGTGAAGCCTTGATCACACCTGCAGCTCTATCTTCACAAAGAGAAGTTCTAACCGACAGAACCGAACCTTCGGGGGGTAAACTGTCGTCTAGGGATGAGGTATTTACGTGCTTACACATAGATACGCCTTGCTTTCTCTCGTATGGCATATGCCCGTGTGGCTCCTCATTCCCCAATAATCATTGCATATACGTGTAGCTTCGCAGTCAGTTTACTTAGAGGTCAGGAGAGCTACCAAAGAGGATGAGAGGCAGATTTCGCTCTGTGCCACAGACATAAACAATGCAAGAAAACTTATACTTTTCTAAACAAGCTCTGTCCTTTCTGTTTTAGTTACAGAGGTACCATTCAGTCATACGGTCCCTCAACGCAAGCTCTAAAACCTCTTTTCAGGTAAGATTAAGAGACGACAGTAAGGTTTCAGTAAAGCATTTGAAGTTGAGAGGTTTTCGTTGTTTTTTTAATATATTCAGATTGCAAGGAATGCGACAAGCAGCTTAATAAGGTCTTTAAAAAATGACAAGACTGACAATAACGACATCAATATATTGTCAGCCATCCGGCAGTTGGAGACATTCGCCATTAGTTATGGCAGAATTAATCTCAAAGTAAACGAGAACAAACTCATCTCGAACGAGCTCTTTGGTAAGTATCTTGAGTTTGATCAAATAAATTGATACTTCAATCTCAATTGGAGGGAATTCAAGGTTGTTGTTTAAATTATCATTTCTTGTGTTTTTGCAGCAATGAAGATTCATAAAGTGCCAGCGGACAACAAAAAATCAATTATTTTCTCTGTAGCGGAGACGAAATTCTCTGGAAACGGGGGTAAAGCAAACATTTCTCTTCCTCCGGGATTGTTCAAAGGACAAGGTACAATCACAAGACGGTGAAGAATCGATCATTTTAAAGGGGTGTTTGTTTTCTCAAATGCTGATATATTACATATGACTTATTTTTCCTCAGACTCTGTTGTTGTAAGCACTCTTTATGATAATATCAAACGGTGGATACCTGCATCAAAACATGCTGAGCTGGACGGGTACGTAGGTTTAAAGTGCCCAAGCACACCTTAAATTTGTCCACATATTCATGTCCAGTCTGTGACTAGGAACATTGCCTTATTCTTATTTGCACTTTCATTAGTAAGGCATGTATTGATCCGTGCACTCATTTGCAAATTTTCAGAAAGTATTTTTCAAAGCTTAAGCTGAGAAGTCGCGTGATTGCCGGTGCAGTGTATCCTGAGCCATCTGGTATTCTTGAGGAAAACATTACGATCTCATTCAGTTATGATGAGGTATTTTTTTCTGTCTAAACAGTGACGTGTTGCTATAGAGAATAATATAGACGTTTTGATATCGTCTCCTCTTTCAACAAACCTATATAAGGAATAAACACTGTAAGCATTAAGGTTTGAAGTCTCTCTATTGTAGAATGTATGAAATAAGAATTTAAATTTTTCACATCTAATGTTTGAATTGTACTATCTCGTTAGGAAACACTACCTGCTAATGTTCCTCACTGTGTTTTCTGGGATTTTAATCGCAAGTAAGTTAAGTGAACGTGATTTTTGTACATGTGCATAGTCTTCTTAATGTCGTTATCGACGTAAATCTCATTCTTCATATGAAGAGCTAGATCTTAATTCTCATATTTTAAGGAACAATAGAGAAAAAAACAATGGTTACGTTTTTTTCTTGATTACATTGGTTTTAATAATTTAGATCGGAGGTGAATGGTTCCTGGTCTGGTACAGGATGTTCACTGATTCAGTCAGACGAGCAACAAGTCACGTGCAGCTGTAATCATCTCACAAACTTTGCTGTTCTTATGCAAGTTGGAGACAAAACGGTTGGTAAAATCATGCTTTTCATGTTTTCAAACTTAAAGCAAAAACGTATAATAAAGTATACTGGGATGTTCCATAGACATGAAAGCAGTTCTGTAATCTTTCTTTCTGATTTTTCCATGACAGATGTCGACAGACCATAAATTGGCATTGGACGTTATTACTTACGTCGGTTGTGGCCTGTCACTTGCGGGAGAATTGTTAACTATTATAGCCTACTTGTCCTTAATGTAAGTGTTTTATGAATCGTTCAAATTGTATTCGGGTTCTGTATTTAACCCTTGTAAAGCATCTTGACCCCTTTCTTCTCTTTTCGACAACACACAGGAATCTAAAGCAGGAGCAAATTCAAATTCATTTCAATCTTGTGGTTGCTATAGCGATAGCACAATTTACATTCCTCTGTGGAGTAGACTTTTCAGAATTAAAGGTGAGACAACGATCGCACTAATTTTCTAACACGTTTTTCCTGAGAAAGGGATGGGTAGTCTTACTCAAATATGAACGACTGAAAGACTACACCTAGACACAATGATTTCATTAAAAAAACTGTTAAGCTACTTAATTATGAAATTTTGATCTCAATTTTATTTACTCTCTTTACCCTAGGGAGTGTGCATCTTCGTAGCGACGTTAATCCATTATTTTTATCTGGCTGGATTTGTTTGGATGTTGTTTGAAGGAATTTACTTGTATCTAATGGTTATTAAAGTTTTCAATACCGTTGTTAAGATGCGCCTGTTTTATGCCATTTCCTGGGGTAAGTATAGTTTGTTCCGTGGATATCTTCCTGCTTTCTAGTAAAAGAAAAAACATTCTAGAGATTTTATTGCTCTTTCATAAGAGGTGAAAAGAAGACATATTTACAAATTTATTTGCATACCAAGTCTCCCTCAAAACTGTTGGAATGCAACTCTTCTGTAAATTTCAGGCTTTCCCCTGTTCATGGTGGTGTTATCATTGCTGGTCGCCTCCGGTCTGGAGGAAGGTATTAACAGCTATGTTCATGGTGAATTGTAAGTACAAGATAAAAATATGACTAAAACTTCATTGAAAAATACTGTGCGAACTTTCACAAGTTCACGCAAACACCAACATTTTCATTTATGGTCTTGCATCACTGAACGTGAAGACATCTGAAGAAGTTCCTTCCAGCTGTTAACAATTTTAGATCGTTGTATGACTTCATGGACTTGAATGGAGAATGAAAATTAACATCAATATAACTCATGACAACTACAACTTTAATTCCAGATTATGACGATCGCTTCCTGTGTTATGTTAAGGAAAAGTCTGCTAGAAAGCTATATATCTATTTTTTTTTTAGATACATAGATTTTCCATCGTTTTGGTTAATCAATATTACTGTTTGTATCCTTTCTTGCAATTATAGTTGCTGGGTATCCTTCAGTAATAATCTGATCTGGACATTTGTTGCACCTGTTCTTGCTGTTTGCATGGTACGTTTCAACTTTGCAATTCGATTACAACACAATTGCTCGTAAGGTGCAAACTATTAAATATGTTAATGACGAACTACTTTCCTTTTCACAGATTAACTCCGGACTTTTAACTCGAGTTATCTATGAGATCATTTGCATGCAAGGCGACAGAACGTCTGAGTTCGGGAAAATCAGGTAAGTTACAGAGACATACCTCTGATGAAAAGAAAGTCACTTTCAACGCGAGACTGACAGGCGCTCTTCATTTTCAATGTTGTGACCGTTAAGCACCTGAAGAGCACTTGAGCTCACCTTGCTGCTCGGTTAAAAAAAAAGCCGAAAGTAATACTCTCGATTTCTGTCAAGATAACACCAGTTAAGTTTGAAATTTTGAATTTTGAAATTCTCTGGGTAAAACCGGGTAAAACTGGAACTGTAGTATGGACACCCTACGCTAAGGGGATTGTCTTTACGTAAACTCTAAAGAGAGTTCATGGAAGGAGGATCGAAATTGTTAGATTGGTCAGACACAAGAAAATTAAACTGATCCAATGATATTGATATTGAATCTCAAATAAAGAATGTCTGCAACAAGCTTTTCTATTTGGCATCTAGTTCATTTCTTCCCTAGTTGTAAATAAAGCTAAAATTTTTATATAAACTTATTTGTTGCTCCAGGCAGGGTTCGAAAGCGATGTTGGTACTGTTTCCGCTCTTGGGCCTGACATGGGTGTTTGGAATTCTAAGCGTAACAGATACTGGTCTGGTGTTCCAGTATATCTTCACCATACTCAACTCATTACAGGTCACAGTCCTATCTCTGACTCTTTCCCAGTCCCCAGAAACTAGAAATATTTTGCGGACTCACTCAGTTTCATTTTAGTTTCATTAATGTTTTCATGAGTTAGTTTAAAATATTCCTGTAAGTTTTAAAGGGTATTGAAACAAAGCATGCATCGTAATGAGGACAATGGAAATGCAGTAAGCTTACACCCTTACGAGTTCCCCTTTCTATTCGGAGTTTCTTTAAAACTGATATCCACGACAAATAATAATTTACCAGAATGCAGTGCTTTTTCTGTGCAAAGTTGTCATGCCTTTCACCTCGAACACATTTCGCAGTGATTTTCGACTTTCTCTTTGGCATAGCGTCGAAAGAAGCGGCAGCCATGGTGCTTCCGCGCTCTTTGGCGCGAAAGTATGAATGCTATAAGTCGTGCAAATTATATGATGCATCAGGAGTGCTACTGGTCACTGATTCCAAAGATTACAATGAAATTACCTGGCTAAGAGTTTCTCAATGAAAATCCGTAGATGTGCCACAGCTTTTCATAGAATACCTATTTCCAGCGACCAAGGTTTCAATTTCTTGAACGGGTTGAGAAACCCGATGCTTTTAACATGTCACATTTCAACATACACGATTTTTGAGGAGTTTCTTTTTAAACCTTTCCTTTCCTTCATTAGGGTTTCTTTATCTTCCTTCTTCATGTTTTAAAGAATGGTGAGGTGCGAGCAGCTTTTCGTAGAAAAAAGAAAACCTGGATGGAATTGAGGAACATTTCAACGTCTCGGGTTTCTTCCCATAGCATGACCGTGCCAAATAAGAAGTTGAGCGAAGAAGAAGCAAATGAACTGAAAAACATGGGAAGAGAGTCGAACTCTTCTGTGGTTGGGTACATTAATCGAACTTGTGTTAAAAAAGACAGAACGCTAACCCCTGTTCAAATGTGATCACTTTAAACGTGTCTCGTTTTGCCAATGTGATCTTATAAAGCCGTATCGTGTCTCATACACCCAATGGCTCACTTCCCGGCCCGAGGGGTAATCTCATTTAAAAGCTCCATAGTGGTTACGACTGATCTCGATACCTGGTCACCCCTCCTACCCCCCTCATCCCCTCCCAAAACGAAACGTAGTCATTTACCGAGTAAAAACCTTTTTAAATTCCTGAATAATAAACACTTTTCCAATTTTATTCCCCCATAAATACGTTATAAATAATCACGTATAATGTGCGTGTAAATAGGTGCCATTGTTAGTCAATTGTGTCTAGAAACATCTTTCTCAACCTTCACACTGCTGCTACTCATAAAAAATATTGAATATGTATTTTGTTCTGTTTCGTCGTGTGGTCGATTTCAAGTGTATGTAGACCGTAAATATTCCAAAAATAAAGAGAAAATATAAATAAATCGAAAAATACATGTAAAGATTCGTGTAACCCCATACTAATAAAATAAAAAAGCCTAGCCACGAGGGCAATATATAGTTTTCGCCATAGCTTTCTTTGATCGAAGTGCTGCGTTCGTAATGAGGTATGGGGTTGAACGGAGATCTTGTCAATACATAGGTAAATAATAAATATAATAAATTATAGTATACCATGTACTATGTTATTTGGTGAAAAATTTCACAAACAACACCGAATATGCGCACGCGCTTTACGAGTGCAAACGTCCGTGTGAATATACGAGTGTCTCCTGCACCCGCTGCTCAGTTGGTAAAAGCTATCACGTCTAAACACAGAGCAACAAAATAATTCCTTCATAAGACAGAAAACCACCCCAAATGGTAAGAATACTATTCGGATTCAAACGAATCCAGCACACGAAAAACTTCCTTTAATGACGTCGCAAACCGATGAACGTCCGTGAAGCTGTTGTACAGCGGCGTTGGAGCAATTCTCATGACGTCAGGTTCCCGTGTATCCACCTGGAAGAAATTAAAACCGTAATATTATGCAATAATATAACAGTGGATACGAAAAGATTTCATGAATGTCTAAACCATTTCAATTCTTACCACAACTCCTCGTTTTTCAAGCTCTTTATGCACGGATTTTATTGGTACAGAGAATTTGACTGACAGCTGACAACCACGCTCAGCTGGGTTGACTGGCGTAATGATTGACACATGTATGTTTTTCTTGTCTTCTGCAAAACCGTTCTCCACTTTTTGCCGTTTCGTAGGAGTTTTATCATCGTCTTGTGGCACTCCAAAATGGTGTAGGAGAAGAAGCTCAAGATAAGCTGAAAGAAAACATTTCCCAGTTTAGTAAAAACTCTTGCCTATTCAGAGTATTAAGGGAAAAGTTTCTAAAGAGACTGTGGTTCTGCGTCGGCGGGAGAGTGTATAACCACTCAAAATAATTTGGTTCATTAACTGAGTTGATAATGTAAATTGGCCACCGTAAAGACCTTATAAGGCCGCAGAGCAGCTGAGAAACTCTTTATGGTGGCTAAATTCACATCATCAGCTCAGTTGACAAAACTAAATTATTCTATCTGGAGCATTACCTGAGCTTACTTTTCAAAAGTGAGTTTAAAGACAACTTTTTTCTTTTTGATATATCGGAGCATGAGCAAAGACGGGAAAATGGAAATTTGACATTATTTACAGTGTACGAAAATTAAATTGCTTTTTGAATATTCGTTGTTTTACCTGACAATAAATCTGACTTTGCTCTAAGATTCTTCATGCTTGTTTTTGCAAAAATCTGGTTGAAAAGGAAAAGACAGACAAGACAGCTACTGTAGCCTTCCTACACACGCAACAGATTAACGCAGTTATATGATCTTAGGTCTGTAAGTGACTAGCGAAACAAGAGTTAGTCTCTTGATGTACAAGTTGTCATCTACCAGGTTACAAGTTTATTTTTTGTTTGTTTGTTTATTTTACTTTTTTGGCGCATGGTGAACGCAGTATTGTGTATCAGCTCAATAAATAGAAAAACACGTTCAGCTCTTCTGACAAACAGAAATACAAAAACAAGCTTTAAAAATGACCAACAATAAGTTTGGTGGTGAACTAATACAGGTGCCTTACATTCAAACTTCCTAATAATGAGACAGTTTGCAGTAGAGGTGGATTAGATAACTGATAGGCAGCAGCTCCAGGTAGTGGCTTGAATTCTGCACCAAAAGGAAAATGGTTTACATGTAAGGATTATAACCAAAACTGGAAGCTTTTATATCCTCTTCATGTCCAAGTATATTCAGCATCAAATTTCTCTATACAGTTTTAGCACATCACGAGTTAGGGTCATGAGAATCAAGGAAATGATCTCCTAGAATAACTGCCCTGTCACTTAACAAATCCTCACACTGTCCGTTACAGGAAAATATAAGGAGACCAACTGAGTGAAGAAATATAAATTCTGTGCTAAACCCATCCAGGCCAGGCTTACTTGACAATTGAATTATAATTATGATTAATGAGAAGGGGTGAGAGAAAATACCCTGAGTGGCTTTTGATAGTCTACATGACTTCCAATTTGTCTTTTTCCTTTATGAAATGTGTAGCATATAGTTTCAGAATAGACTTTAAAGCATGAAGGAAAACTCAACAAAGGTTCATATTTACACAATATGTCAACTGCCGTTAAACATGCAAACGAGGCTGACAAGTGACAGCATGAAGACTTACATCATACACCACAAAATGCAAGGAGAATATGTTTCATCAAAAGTCATTTATTACATACAATAGGGCTTTTTTCCACATACCCCTTTAATTCTTAGCTGTTGAGCATGGACCAAAACCAATGTTATCTTTTTGAATTAAAATATATTTAATAAAATAGGAATATAATGTTACCATGGCCCATTTCAAAGCGACTTGTTCTGTCATGACCCCACCAGCCAGCAAACCTACAGTACATAAGTGCTCAGTTAAAAACCAACAAGAGAACATCTAATCAACCAATGTTCTTGTGCCCTAGAACGAATTAAACGAATGTTTATTGCTAAGTGTCAGGAAAGTTTTTGAAAATGGTGTTAAAGAAATCTTCCTCATGTAACCATAAGAATGATTAGTGTTATTAATTTATCATTATCCTAATCAAATCCTACTTATCAATCACAATTAAATGGCACTCCTGTTAACAACTGTCAGGTCACCTTAGCAACCCAAATAATTTGGATTTATATCTTCCCATGGAAAGGGTTAGGGACAAGTGTTCAAAACTAGTTTTCTTATTTTTCATTCATCTTTTTCTGCCAAGGCCAATAGCCAAAATTAATTTCTGGTTAAGCCTCCATAAAGTACAGCCATCCAAATGTAGCATGAACCCTCATTACCATATTCCTGAGCGAAAGACAAGGGAAACTTTTTTCCAGTTACAAAATGGACTGCTCCAAGAATGAGTGATCATTAAAATAATTCAATACACACAAAATGGTGTTTTACTTGTTCATTACATGCTTCTTTCGAAAACTTACTTGGGAAGGTCAAAGTTGTAGGCATGTTTTTCATGGACAAATGCTCCAGCAATACCTCCAGGTCCTGAATTGAGATACTTTTAAACAGCAAAATCAAGTGATCAAAATAATTTTTATAATGACTGAGCTATTACATTACAACTATAAAACACACATTAATATATACATCACAATTACTTCTGCTCATCAGCTGACCAATGAGCATGTATAGATGAATGCAGGTCACCTAGTTATTCACATGTGGGTTGGCAAAATGTAAAACCAGCTCACCTTGTAAGAACACCAACAGGCAAAGTCAACATTCCAGTCATGAAGTTTCAATTCCACATTTCCAACAGCATGTGCTAGATCCCAACCAACCACACAACCCTTTTCATAGAGAGGAAATTGCAATTATGTGAATGAAAGTTTAAGTTTAGCATACCGTAAATCATTTGACAAAAAGAACCATTATAAATAATCAATATTAATAACAATTAAAATATGCTACTTGATAAGTAAGTATACATGCACAAATTCCCTCAACCTTTGAAAAATTTACTTAATAGGCTAATTTATCCCAAATTGCATCCAAAATCAAGTGATTACCTGATATACAAATGATATGGGATTGTTAGGCAATTGAACCCACACTGTTGGTCTCCTTTTCTTATCAAGCATTTTGTATGCGCATGATACATTATGTACTGCTAATAAAATAATAATGACAAGAAAAGAGTTCCTAATCTGAGGTTTTTGTAATAAAACACAGTTGTTCCCAGTTGATGACCAACTTACATATTAGTAACATTATGCAAAATTATGCACAAAAGTAGAGCAACAAAATAATTATATCAGTCTCACCTTTTTCTGTGCAGATGCAGTAATTCTTTTTATGTCAAAAAATTGTCCAGAGTAATATTGAACACCTGAAAACCAAATTTGCATAATAAGCCTAACTCATTTCAAAGACAAAACTGAAGAAAATTAAATGAAAAGACATGCAGGGTTCTGCTTGAAATGTCTGGTGTTTGTATGATCTGTCGCATGCAGTTGTTTTTCCTAAATTTTAGCCAATCATGAACCATCAGGTATCATGCATATCAATATACTTACCACTGAACATAACAAGTGCTATTGATTCTCCATGTTCTTCAATTAAGGACAGAATATCATCAGTTCTGAGTAGTTCCTCACCCTAGGCAGAATTCATTATTTGACTCAAACTTAGCTTTAATAGCTTTCATCAAACAATGTAATAGCTTCAAATTTAAATTTCATCATTATTCAGCAAATACCTGGTGACAACACCAATACATCTCAAAATTTAAACATGTTGAATTATTTTAATGCATGTCACGTACCACTCTTACACACACCAATAAAAAAAATCTGAGTTCAAATATACACCCACATACTTCACAATAAATTCATGCCAAAAATATATTTATCTTTAATGAATAATTGTGGGAAATTGTAGCAAATGCTGTTGGAAAGTGCTCAATACACATGAGTGTAGAGCAAAATACAGTTCATTGAACTGTAATCTTTAATGAACAACTTTTTAAAGATTGGCCCAAAGATACAGCCTAAACTAGGCATGTTATTGTTTGTCTGTTTTACATCTCTTTTCTAACTATTATTATTTTTATCAGGAACTGTAAACACCCCTAAGTTTATTACCTCTCTTGGTGTAGCTTCCATAAGGGCTTCTGCTGGATTGTATCCATGGAAACTAATCTGTGACTGCACTGCATACTGCAAATAAAATTCTTGGGTTACAGTGTTTCATAGCTCCCTTACTCTCTCCCTAATCTTCCTTTATGCCTACCTCTCCATCTTTCTGACAATCATACCTCCATCCTTCCATTCCTGACTTTCTTTAGTTCATAGCTGTATCTCCCTCCCTTTCACTTATCTTCCCTTTCTTCCCTCAACCCTTCCTTTCATCCTTCCTGACCTTACTTCCTTCCTTCCGTCCTACCTCGCTCTGTTCCTGACTCTTCTTTCTATCCACCTCCCTCTCTTGCTCTCCTTTTTCCTTCCTTCTTTTCTCCCTTCTTTCCCACCCTCCTTCCTCCCTTGCACCCTCCCTCCATTGTTCATGACCTTTCTTACTTGCAACCACCCTCTCTTCCTGACCTCAACATCTTCTTCCCTTCCCTTTTTACTTGCTTGCTTCCTCCCTCCTTCCCTCCCTTACTTTCTTGGCTTCTTCCTCCCATCTTTCTTCACTCCAGTCTTGACCTTTCCTCCTAGAAATCTCCCTCTCCCCCTGACCTCAACATCTCCCTCCTTCCATTCCTTCCCTTTTCCTTCCTTTCTCCTTTCCACACTTCCTGATCTACCTTCCTTCCTGCCATCTTACCTCCCTCCATTCCTGAACTTTCTTCCTAACAACCTCCCTCTCTTCCTGACTTTCATAACTCCTGGTCTTTTTCTCTGCTTGTTTCCTTTCTCCTTTCCATCCTTCCTCCCTATCTACCTACCAGCCTCCCTTCTGACCTTCCTTGCCGCCTCCTTCCCTTAGCCATACATACTGGCTCACAGACATTCACACTTGCCACATAGAAATATGGTTACATAGTATTAACACATTCATATAACACTTACATGATCCGAGGGGAATGCCTTTGCTTCTATTAGAATTTTGTGTCTCTGAGGTGTTGGTCTATAAAATGGCACCAACAGAAGGTGTAGATTTACTGTCAAAGAGTTCATGATGGCAACTTCTATATCCTTAGCACCTTGAAAATAAGGTATCAATTAAGAAACTCAACATTAGCAACAGAGATTCTGGCCTCTCATTTAAACAGTCTTCCCATTTTTGTTTTATTGGCAAGATTTGAATCTATAGCTAATATATTGTAGGTACTTGTCTGTTTCTTCTCTGTAACTAATGTCAATATTGTGAGCACTTTATTGCATGATTGGGGCTAATTTATTGTCAAAAAGAAGATTCTATAAATAAAAAAGTCAATGAAAAAAATGAAACAAGATAACTATGTCAATTTATAAGTAAAATGCAAGGAACAGCAACACACCTATAGATAAATTATTTTACCTGTTTGAATAAAAAGTTGAAGTTCATAAAATTGATTTATCTTAATTTTTTACAATCAATTATATAAAAAATAAAGCATTCCCTTTTCTATTGATTGTATAGAAACCTTACCAACTATTCTGGCACTTTCTGAAAGTACAAAGTCTTCTATTTTCCACCAAGGAAGAGCACCACAAAAATGACCATGAACTCCCCTGAAAATAGAATGAGGATGAACACATCTTCAAAAAGTGACATATTGCATTACTGTATGTTCTTACCCCCCTAAAGTTCATTACACTTCTCAATTATTACTAAAGAAGCTCTGGATATGTCCCTTGTTTCTTTTAGATAACAGCACTAATCAACCTCACTGATGGTTCGTTCATTCGAGCTAAGTCATGTAACAAATAAAACTTCAACTGAGAAAGAGAAATATAATTATGTACATTTTTTGCCACTTGTCCAGCTCCTGTATGACCAATGTACGCGACTCTTTGGGTTGGAGTCCCAAAGAATTTCCACAGAAGTACATGCTGTCCATCTCCATATCCACTATTGCAGGATCAACTGCATGTGCAGAAAAAGTGTAATTAATAAAATAATAAAGTTTATGTTGACTGGTATAAATAAGTTTTGGATGCAACTAAGAGTCATTTTAGCCTGAGCTGCTAGACAAGGATTAAAATGACTCAGAGAAAGGCCAAAAAACATATTTATGCCCAAAAACATAAATTCTACTACTCTTTGAAGGCATTGAGGAAAAATTGGAACTGAAAAAGTGACCACAAAACATTCCGAACAACTACAAGCAGACTAAAATGTCCCTCTATTTTAGCCTGCAAAATGCTGCACATTACCTGATAAAATGATAACAATAATTATGTTTTAACTCTACTAGACATTATAACTTGACATTAACCAAAAATAGCTGTTACTAATTAGTCTTAGTTTGGGCATCTTTGCCAAAAATTTCTATAACATGTCTTCAAGAGATTTCCCTTCCCCAACCTCTCTCTTACTCTTAAAGTAAGAAACATCCTCACAACTTTTAAAAATTGCCAAATTAAAGGCTAAAAGTTATCAACAGTTATTAAGCTCATCATTTGCCAAAATCCAATGCTAAAGGACCATGCAGACTTAATTGAGATCAGAGACATTTAAGTTTTTCCCAAAGCACCATAATTAAAATCTAATTGACCTTGCTTCCTGTTTTTACTCATAAAGTATACAGTTGCCAGGTGTAAAATGAAAACAAACTTTAGAGATCATCAGAGTAATATAAGATCTTTTGTTATACCTTTTGATGTTCCCTTAATTGCTACTTAATATGTAACCAATGAACAACACAAATGCATGCAAACAAGTCAACCCTGTGCTTTTCACTTTTTCTCTCTCCCTATGCTCTATTTGTCCTTGTTACATAATATATGATATCCCCCACAGATCAAATACCTTTTTTGTTTCCAAGAGAATATACCACATGTTATTGGCCAAAACTTGCTAATTTCTTCAGGTCAACAAAACTCACAAATCCCTCAGGGTAAAAGCAACTTTTAACTCACACAAGATCCAGTCATGCACCATGAAACCGCTGAATATTTTTGTGACAGCTTGTGTGAAGAAATTAAATTCAAATATGCTTTCCAGTAGCAATTTGGCACGGATTGCACTAAGAAAAGTTTTGCAAGACATTGATTACTTCATGGTCAAAACATATCAACAAAACACTGTTCCTAATGTCACTCTAACTTTTCTTAGACACTTTTTTTCAAAAACAGGCAAACATTAAATGGGATGGGCAGATATTGGAAAACTGGGACTTAACAGTTGGAATCTTAGTGGTAATGTCACTACTTGTTTGTGATCTGTATTTTTGTGATCTGTATTACCAGAAGATTTCCAGTAAAATTTTAGAAGAAACCAAGATCTACTTTAGTTTTGCTCTTTGCAGACTAACATCCATTAGCCCTTCTTTCATATGAAAGACAAAAAAACCTGCTGCTGATTTAACTGAATTTAAAAAAGAGGAAGTATCATAGTGAGAGATGTTTGTCAGCAATTCTCAATTCCAAACATATTTTTTTCAGTTTGTTTAATCCTTTTTTAGACCAAGTTACTCTCTTTGAGCAGCTATTGGATAAATGTGTATCTAGTCTATGTCAGTTGTGCAGTGTGTTCATTACAATTTTCCTCCTACTTAAAGTGACACTTGTAGTTTACCAGGAGTTTTTGCTTTCTTCACTACCATTTTGAGTTTTCTGTGCTTTTTGGCCAGCAACATAGACAACTTAGCCCAAGTATGACAGATGCCTCTGTTCTATTGCAGTCAGTGTAAAACACAGACCGCAGATTGCAGAGTGGGGATAAAACGCAGACTGAGGGTAAAATGTAGACGGCAGACTGCAGACTGGGGATAAAAATTAGTGCAGACTGACGACTGCAGACCAGGGGTAAAATGCAAACTGGGTTCTAGAACAACCCGCTTTCCCAGAAAAACTTCGAGAGTACCTTTGTTTCGCACTGCAAGTTAGGCATGCAAGTTCTTTAAATTTAATGCAAATTTGTTGGGGGTTAGAGATAAGGGTCTAGTTAAAAACCTCCAAATGTCTCCTGGGCGTTTCACTTCAGTATTAACCTGAGGTAAATCTGCGGCTATCATGGCCAACTTAACCTGTGTCACACTTCTTGTTGGCTGACAGGGGATGCTCAGAAATTTAGTTTTGCTTTAACATGTTTTAATTCACTGGAAAAATGGCAGAGTCTTCCTTAAGTCTCAAATTTTTTAGAGAAACCAGAAATTTCTATAAATTTCAACAAAAGATCCAAGTCTGCATTTTACCTCTGGTCTGCAGTCTTCATTCTGCATTTTACCCTCAGTCTGCATTTTACCCCTGTTCTGCAGTCTGTAGTCTGTGTTTTACACTGTAATTTAGTGTTAACAACTGAGTAGAAAATGTAAATTGGCCACCATAAAGAGTAAAAAAGCTGACGTTTTGAGCATTAGCCCTTTGTCAGAGCGATTGTTTTACACTGACCAGTTCTATTTTTGAGATGAGAGGTACAAAAAAAAAAACATGGCCAGTCTCCCAAGAAACAGTAAGCTTTATTTTCTGTTAACCCACTGTGTTCCCAAGGAGCTTCGCCTTGAGAAACATTTGGGTTCTTAGGAATTAAAACTCATATTTTTCCTCAGGGCTAGCCACTAAGTAATTTTTTTAAGCAGGAGATAACTGCAACACGTGCAACATGTGGACTGGTTTGTTGACCTCAAAAAGAAATTTGAATCTTTCTCATCAAGTAACGAAATATCCCGAAATATCCCGAAATATCTCATGTCAAAGATATCAAAGATACATTATGGAGCTGAACCCCCCTAAAAAAATCCACATTGTACAGAATTGCTGTTCAGGATCAAATGATTCTGAATTATACGAGGAATATCTGTAAGCCAGCTGTACGGCTTGCATCTATATCTTCAATTAAGGTATAATTTCCGCACAGCCCTATACTATTGTAAAACAAGTAAGTAATTTAGTGTTAACAACTGGGTTGAAAACGTAAATTAGCCACCGTAAAGGGTAAAAAAGCTGCCGTTTCGAGCGTTAGCCAAAAACAAATCTATTTTCCCAATGGCAATGTATTGTTTTTGTCATTGTTTTCTTTATCCAGGAACTGAATGCATAATGTAGTGTGGGGCTTTGCGGAAATTTTAGCATATTTTCATATGTTCTAAGCTCAATTGGAATATGTGTGATTCTGTCCACAAAATGCTTTTCATGCCCTCTCTCGCGGACGCCATGAGGAGTTGTTCAATCAAAATTCTGTGTTTAATAGGCATGTTTATACTAAAAATATAGCTAGTTGTATCCCTTGAAATTTTAAATTCTTAAATCTTAAACTGGTGTCGTGATGACAAATTCACCTTACCTTGAGGGAGATCCTTCATCTTCGGATAGAAAAATTCTCCTCGAAGATTCTTCAACTCATCACTATCGTCCATCATCTCTGCGAATTTTGCATCAGTCATATCTAATTCAGCTGATTTTGCCAATCGCAGGAGCGTTCGACATGGTTCGAAGTTCAGTTGCTCGCGGCATTTCTTACCTAGTTTGTCGTAAAATGTCATTTTAAGTAATTTCGAATGTAAACACTCCGTGCTAGCATACACAACAACGAGAGAAACGTTTAATCAATTTAGTGCGCGGGAAATACTGGCCGTGTGACATTGGGTGCTAGAATCGCTCTTTCGTTATTCTGTAAGAATTCTTTCCGATCATGATTGGTCTTCATGAGTATTAAGTGGGTATCAACAACCAATTTCTCTCTTCCAAACGATTTAGGCTTGTTTCTCATCATTAAATACTTCCCTTAATAGAAATTGACTTAAAAAAAGGAAACGAAAAGAGAAATACAGCAGCAAAGCTCATCACTGGGGTTAACAAATGCAGTTATTGTTAACAGAAGCAACTTAATTTTTATGACAGACAATCAAAGTATAAACTCATCATACTAACTGACTTCCCTGTACACTCAAAGAAACACAAACATTCTTTTGAATACTTTCACTTTTCTATTTTTCTTTTATTTTTTCTTGACATGATATAATTACAATATAATTTGCTTCAAAAACGTTAAAGGCTGGTCATATCATGGCAGATTTGAAGCTTAGCAGCTGGTAGTAAATGCATTGCTAAATTAGAAATGGCAACAACAGCAAATAGAAATATGCCAAAACATGAACTAAGTGTTATGCCTTTTCTTCTTCTTTATTTAACCTTATCAAATGATATGTAGGATGAAAGGTAAAAATACCTACATTGACAGTTATTCTTTTTTCAAGAATGCTGCAGTCTTGGACTGCTTGATTTCAAGCAGACATTATCTTTTCTAAGCCTGTTTTACACAAGGAAACTCTTAAGTCAAATTCTCATCCCACAACACATGTAAGCAAAATTCCTATTTTCAAATATACTTTTAACAACTGCAGAATTTGACAATAATTTCACTATTTCCAATGTATTTTTTTTTTCAACCGCACGGCGATCACACTTTTTGCTCTCATAGAGAGTAACCTCAATTTACACCTACATTACATCATTGAAGACCATGTTGTTACTCAATAAGTGCAGAAATCTTCTTCTACAGTAACTCTCAGCTGAGTCATAAGGCACTTTCTGGTAGAAAAACAACATGGCAAACAATGCTTGCACAGGTATATATACATTAGGGGGTGTACAACACTCTGTCTTATTCATTCCACAATGGGAAAGTTGATCAGACATGGTCATTTTCAATAATATTGATAATACAGAAAAAGCAGTAACTTTGCCTTATCTCGTTGCCACTAAAACCTTGTCACTGCTAAGGAAAATCATTTTACACATCTAGTGAAACTAACAAAAACTGTTCCTTAACCATAATTGGTAGTACTCCTACCTCAACCAAATCAAAACTTTAGCATGCCTTTCACAAAAAGACATATTCTCAACTGTGGATGCAGAGAAAATTCAGTTTTACTTGTAAACGTAGTTTATGATTAGCAAAAGAAAATTAGGAGCTAGTATATATTTTTATCTATTTACTTGTAATGTTCATGTACTCTACAGCTGTACTCAACTACTATAGTGGTTAAAATTCAGTGTTTGGAGAGTCCATTCCCCATATCACACAAAATATTAGCTAAGACTGTCACATTGGCACTTGGGTTATCATTAATAGCCTTTCTCATAGCAGCTTCTGGCACAGATTCCCCAAATATGCCAACCAATCTCTCAAGTTTTAAATTCAATGTCTCCTGGTCTCTCTCAGGATGGTAAAATCTGCATTTAAGACCATAAGTACACTTCTTCAAATAAGGGCAAATTCGAGGGTGAGTAGCAGACCCCTTTCGAAGAAAGTCCTCAAGATTGGGTCCATGTTTGCCCAGTGGGTCATCGGGAACCATAAACTTGTCCCCAACAAAAGAGTACATCAGTAATCTTTGTTCGATTGTCTCTCTCCATTTTGGATTTTCATTTGTCAAGTCTCTAAAGTTATCATTTGAGACAACCACACCATCTGTCTCTGCTGCAAGTTTGATGATAAAGCGGTCATCATAACAAACAATTCTTCTGCCATTCACTTTCCTGGATGGAGTGAAAACTAGGATACCATCACGCTCAAGACTGTACAGAATATCCTGATCTGTAATGGGTTTGTCCGGACGCGAGGCTTCCTTCCGCCATAATGGCACAAAAACTGTGATTTCTTTGTGTCCCCTTGCTCTAAACCACTCAACACACAGTTGAATGCCTCTACAGGAAAAGATATCTTGTCTTCCATGACTGTGCAAAAGAAAGGAAAAAAATTTCAATTTTTTGTATAGAAAACAGAACAGAGAAAGATGAAAGTCTACTTTATTATTATGTACTTTAGTGATAGGTTTAATTTGATCTGGTATATAATCATTTGAGGAGGATGTTCTGGCTATTTATAACAACTAAATTCCAGCATATTTGCATATGCAAGATGACAAAGAAACCCATTGTAAGATCAACAGGAACAGGAACTTGTCTATCAGCTCATTTTATTTCTTTTACTTGTCCATTTTTTTATATTTGAGTAACAAATTCACATTCAAATGACAGACTCAAAAATTAATCTTCAAAAATGCACTAAGTAGTCTCTTCAAAAAATAGTTTCAGAAAAACTGTGTTGGTTCGAAACCAATATGTTGTGTAAGGGATGTTGCCCAACAAAGGAAGTTACTCAACCACAAGGATAATATTACACATTTGACCTTGTTTAAGCTCTGAAACAACTGCTCATGCTCAGAGTATATTCAAATTAGCTTCCTGTTCACAGATCTCATTTCAACAAAACAAAACTCTCTTGTTTCAGCATGTCACATTTTTTCTCCCACTAAAACAAAGTCCAATAATTTCGCAATTCCGCCACATTTTTCAGTCTTGTAAATCCCTAAACCTTGATCATGACCTATTCTAATCGCAAAGATTTTCAAATGTTGCTAACTGCTTTAATCAAAGAAAATTTGTATTAATGGATATATGAAAACCTACATTAAAATAAAAAGTCCTTCCAAACTGAGCAGAAGTTACTCACCTCATAGCAACATTGCTCCCATCAATAACCACTGGTCTTAAGTTTGAAGACGAATTCCCCGAAACTTTCTTAGCACCAAGTATTTGTTGATACATCAGTTGTTCTTGTTCGTCAAGTCTGTCACTAGCACTGCTGCTTGCTTCTCTGTGGATCTCATATGGAGATGGTCCAGGGTTACTGTAGGGCTGAACCTGCATTAAAGGGGGAACAGAAGGCCCTGCTCCTCTAGCAATGATATCAGGAGGACGTTCGAGAACTCTTTTTGTTCCTCTCGGAATAGCTTCGGGATAAAGTTCATGGTTTGGCCTAGGCATCGCAGAAGCCCCTTTTGCCATCAAATCTCTTTCCCAGCTGTGTTGAACACTAGGTACTGCAGCTCTGGGGTTCTCATAGCCAGCCCTTAACACATGAGCAGAGGTGTTTGGCGCTCCCCTGGCCACAACTTCTCTCCTAACAGGGTAAGGACCCATTGCTGAAGTAGGTTTGGGTTGTGCAGAAGCAGAAATTTGATAAGGCAACGAAGCAGTTGTTTTCAGAAGTTCGTTCAAAAGCGTGTTCTGACTTACATCAGGTCCTAGCTTTTGGACAGCCTGGTCTATGACTTGGTTAGAATAGCCCAGCTTTCGTGCAAATTCCCTCAATTGAGGTTCGATGGCGGGCACGCTTGGCGGATGCGAAGTTGGAGGTGTACGCAACTTGTCTTCAATCGCCGACTGCGCCATCGTAACCGACACTGCACTGCCTTGAAGATGACAACTGTTTCGTGAAGTAAACTTTACCACAGCACTTGTAGTTTTTTCAAGTTCATCAAGTGATTTAAACAGAATTTCGTAGAAGCGCTCGCTGAACGGAACTTCTAACTCCAGCTCAGGATTACAAAGGGACTTAACATATTCCTAGAAAGGAAAGAGATTCCATGTAAGCTTCCAAAAGCGAGGCCCACAATAAACACACGCTCACAATGTTTTCTTTTTTTTTGCGCTTTTCTTTGAAAGAATGTAATTATAATTTTATTCAGAAAACCCGAAGGAAAGCAGCTGGGAAATTAACTTCGTCTCTTTGATTGTCAGAGATTCGCATTTCAACCGTTGAGCACTTTGGGCTAAAAGCATGCTTTCTATCGAAATAAAATATGTTTCCAGCAGAAGAAGACAGAATAAGAGTTCCAAAATTCAAGCTTTTAATAGGACAACCGCACGTAAACTCGCCGTTAAGCTTTTCATTTCAATGCGGAAGTTTTAAAAAGCCTTGTGACCTTCTCGTTGCATTTCGCAAGAAGGAATTTTTTCTCTCGAAGATACGCGCTATAAACGACACAAACACAAGCTGCAATTCCTACTAACCTTTGCCTTATCCACATTGTCCTTCTCTCCTTTTAAAGCTAGCCACTGAGTTCCACTTTTAGCAGCGCTTTCCTCGGGCGAGCTGAATTGAACATCCACACTGAAGAGGAGCATAATTCGCTGAAACAAGCTGGCAACGAGGGAACGCTTTCCATGGCCAACACAAATTTCTTCGATAATATCGTTGTCCGCCATGTTCAATCGAAGGAAACTTTCCAGAAAATGATAACAGTGAAGATTAAAGTTCTTCTATAAGCGCCACAACAACGCCATAAGCGAAAACCTCGAATATCTACAAAGGAAGTTGAGGGCGGATTTGATCAGTCTTATAAATAATACTCTTTGTAGAAACGACAGGATTGGAGAATAGTGCTATGACGTCATGTCTTTCATAACAAGCAAGTATCTTAAGACTTCCTTTAGGGAGGGGTAAGGAGTACGTTGTTCAAAACAACGAAAAATTCACGGCAAGGCAATTTTCTTCCTCTGTAACTCTGTAACTCTGTAACTCTGTAAATTTACTACAGAAAACACGATCGATTTGAATTTTATAACATAAAGATACCAAAATACCTTGTATACATGTCTAAAATATTCCCCCCATACTCCCCTCCCTAACGTTCCGTTTGGAGGGTTTGTCATAAAACACGTAAGGAATATAAAGTCATGCAAGATAAATAGACTTCCTAGAAACTGGTTCAAAACATAAAAACTGACCA